AAAAAAATGTAAGATTCTTTTTTGTTTTTCAATGGTAGTAGGCTAAAGATACGTATGCGGTTTTGTCTTAGTGCCTTTATAACTTTACGTGAATTTTGTTCGGACTTGAAATATTTTGAATACTTTGTGATTTGGACAAGCACTGATAAAGATATTGATTTTGGTCGGTCCAGTTTTCTCTTTTATTACTGGTAGGAGGAGCCAACCTCTCCATGTGACAACGATTAGTGTGAATGTTTTCGTAAATTACCTATTTTCGCTATATAAACCCTACTTATTTTTCGTTTTCAATCATCATTTTATAAAAAAAATTATAAAATACGATTGGAAATAATGATATCATTCCTTTACGATTAGTGTGAATGTTTTCGTAAATTATGTACTTTTTTTATAATTTATAAATATATGAATTATGTTATTATACTTTAATTATGTGTATAATTTTACTTTTATTTTTAATAGTCTTATTTATCTCATATATTAGATATAAGTATATTTTTAATATATTTTATGTTTGTATCACACAGTTTAATAATCAACAATAGTTTCCTTTTCTAAAAATAAATTATTATTTTTTCATTTTATACTAATTTAAAATTTGACGATTTTTTAACGTCAATACTTAAAAGTATGTAGGTGCTATTTGTCTTTTTTTTTTTTTTAACTTTTATGCACTTTATTTATTATAGTAGAATCAAATGTTTGTATTGCAAAATATATTAATATAGATTTTAAATACTGATCTTGGAACTTAGTTTTAAAATATATATTTCATTTTTGTAAAATACGCATTTTTGTTATATTTTTGTCAAAATATATTTGAATTAATATTATTTTTGTTTCAATTAGACAGATCAATTTGGAATATATCAATCAATTTAATCTGAGGACAGAATTTTATGAAGTCATAAATATTTTAAAGCTAATTTTAATCATATATTTTTGAAAATTTTGCAAGTCATGATTTATATAATGGGTAATGCAAATCAATGTTTTTTACAAAGTAATTGTAAAATCAATGTTCTGTTCGAATTTACTTAAAACCGGTTCTGAATTTAATATTATAAATTAAATGATATAACTTAGACGAAATGTATGATGCAAACATATCGTTCTTAATAAGAAGTATCACAGTAATGAAAATTATTGACAAAACATAAATAAATACAACATTAATTTAAAATATTAAGAATGGTAAGTATAGGTAAAACAAAAAAAAATTAATACAAAGCGTAATAACAAAGAACAAAGGAACAATCCCTTTTTTTCTTTTCATGTGGAAGACCTCATGTTAAAGAAACTGACTTTAGCTGACCAATTTAAAGTGGAAAAGTATGTGAAAAATGTTCTAATCCTGAAAATGAACAGGAGTTAAGACTATATATATATATATATATTCCTTTATAGACAGCTTGAACTAGGAGAAATATTTATTTTCTGTCTAACCCATGGACATTATGTTTGATTAACTTGATTAGAATAAATTATCAAGTTTTTTTAAATCATCAAAATTCTTTAGATTTTCTTAAGGAAATAAATAAGAATAGATTTTAGAGCATATTATTATTTATGATATTTTATTTTGAATTTGTTTTACGGCATAGAAATGAAAGTATTTAACGTGATTTCATGATTTCCTTAACGTATATACGCTTAGATTTCAAGTCCTCTTAATTTTTCCACTTCTTAAACACATAGAAAAAATAATACATTTTTATAACCAAAAAATTGATAACGAGTACTTAAATTTTAAGATTTCATATTTGTTGTTTTTAACGTCAAACATAAAGTTTGAATTATACATTAACTTAGCTATATTTCTATAAAACTCAAACAAACAAGACAGACGAATAATTTAATTTAAAATGGGATTTAGTAAAAATATTCATTTAACATGCTAGCCAGCTTCTATGTATATTATGATATTGAATTTTAATAATTTCAAAATTATAGTCACTAAAAGCAAAATATAAATTTGTCTAATAATTTAAATAGCGTAATTAATTTAAATGTAAAAGTATATATTCAAATAAAAAATAAAAAATAATCTAAATTAAAATTAAAATATTTGTAAAAAACCCGAGCGTAGTCCAGGAAAGTCTTTAGTTATATTAATTTGGTTTTGGGATGACAACAAGACTGGACTCACTTTCTAACAAAGGAGGCATTAATATGCTGTAAATTTCCTAAATCAATTTGTTAGCTTGCGTAACTTTCTAAATTATCTGAAATGTTTATTATATTATTTTGTTTTTAAGACTTTAATTTTTTTCCACTTGTTCCTTGTCAATTTTAGAGGAGGAACATATTTTATTCGTTGGCTCGGTCATATAGAAGGAAAAAGAGAGAAAAGTGATTGGAACAATAAATTTATTATCATTTTTTGCTAAAAAGTGGTAATTTTTTGGGATAAAATTAATTACTATACTAATTGTTTGATACAATAGCTCTTGCTTCAATTTCACCAGAGTTTCTGTAGCAACGTGCTCAAGCTTTGACCTAGACAAGAAGTGAAATGCAATGAAACAGAAGTAATTTTGCTTTGTATATGTTATTTTTCCTAAGTTATGTTGTATCAAATGCACACTTGTAAGTCGATCGTTCGAAATCAAGCAGAGACTTCTTGGAACGAACAGCCAAATTATGTCCCTCAGTTCTGCAACACTACCAAGAGCTTGGCGCTGTGCTTCAGCGCTTTCCAACTCTTGTATTGGAGGGAGGGTCACTTGTTGTTGCTTTACCCCCATCGCCTTTAGCTCGACGAATCAAACTATATTCAACAACACATATAAAGGTTAGTGTCTTAATGATTTGTACTTGTCTTAACATTTAACAAAATCTTATAAGATTACAAGAGAGGCAGTATTTTTACTTCACCTCATCAAGAAATATAATTCCACCACCAGAGAGCTTATTTGCTTGTGAAAACACAGCCCCAAGAAGCCGCTCGAGCTCGTTCTTTTTTTAGCAATGTCTGGCATAAAAAGAGAGAGAAACCTTTTGACCCCTGACACGTGGGCAAGAACCATATTTGAGTTCTTGGACTCGAGCTCGTTCTTTCTTTAGCAATGTATGGCATAGTGTTGTGGAGGATCTATAAAGGGCAAGTTTTAAATTCATAATCAGAAAGTCGTAATTGTGCTATATAGGAATAGGACTAACTAATCTTATCACTAACCCTTGTGCAATGCCCCAGTACTTTAAAAAGTCTCTTCCATATCTATGAGCCTCGCGTGCTGTTTTCTTTCACCGATCATAGAGACCCCTTTCGTATCAGGTAATTGTTTACCCATCTGACCCNAAGATGGAGAAGAGAGTAGCTTCCAAATAAGTTTTGTACAGGAGACTTTGTTAGCTTCAGCGATTGATTTCAATCCCAGACCCCCCTCATCCCTCGGAATGCAACAGTCCTTCCAAGCTACTTTTGCCTTCTTTGCATTAGGGCGAGACCAAAGAAACGCCGCACAAAGTGGATCTATTTCTTGAATACACTGCTTCGGCAAGAGAAAAGCATAGATCCAAATATTTGTTAAATTGTGGATTATAGAGCCTATCAGTTGCACCCTACCCGCAAAAGATGAAAATCTATTGTTCCAGGAGCTGATCCGAGAACACACTTTTTGATAATTGGAGTATAATCTGCCAGTCATTTTTTTCGTCATTAAGGGTACACCCAAGTAGCGTACTGGTAAACTGCCTGCTGAAAATGATAAATTCTCATGATTTCTCGTCTTTCTGTGTCCCTAACTCCAGCAAGATAAGGGGTAGATTTCTCCATGCTTATATTCAGACCAGAGCACTCTGCAAACTGCTTAAAAACCTGAAGAATTCTTTCTACTGACCTTTTTTTACCATCCGAGAACACTAGTACATCATCTGCAAACACAGAGTACATCTTTCTACTGTCTTTACAGGTGTACTCAAAGCACTGCAGTTGTTTGCAGTGTACACTCGCTACGTCCATAGCATAATCCAGAGGCACAAGCCTTGCCAAAACCCAAAATGAAACAAAGTAAGTTGTTGAATCTGAGTTTTGTACGGTCGATTGACTAGAAAACTAAACTCGATTTGTGGGTTCTTCGAAGGCGTTTTATTAATCAGAGTTGATATCAAGAGGAGATTACAGAAAGATTCAAGAAAAGAACAAAGGTCGGAGCTTTATAAAGTCCGACCAGATTACAAGGAGGTTCGATTGATCGTAAAACCCTAAACCTTG